AAAAAAAAAAAAAAAATTAAACAACACTCATATAGCCAAGTCGTGGAAGCAACCTAAAATGTCCATCAACCCATGAAAGGATCAACAAACTGTGGCATATGTATACCATGAAATATTATGCAGCCATTAAAAAAGATGCAGACTTTACATCTTTTACATTTACCTGGATGGAGTCAAAATATTCTTCTTAGTAAAGTATTATAAAAATGGAAAGATGAATATCCAATGTACTCCATGCTAATACAAAATCAATATAAAAACAATTACATGTTCCTAAGAACAATGAAACACTATTATAGTCCAATTCGGGAGGTAGAGGAAAGTAGGGGCACAGGGGGAGAGGGGAGGACATATGGCAGGAGAGAGGGCATGAGGCGAGATCTCACCTTATGTGCACATTGTAAGGGCGTATAACACACCCCCTGGGTGAGGGGCTCTTCTACAAATGGAACTTTGCCCTGGAAGTGAGAATGATGTAACCTAAATATTGTACCCTCGTATTAATTTGAATAGTTTAAAAAAAATCAAACCACAAAAATGCAAAAGGATAAAGTCTAAAATATATAATTGAGAAGTTGCCTGTAGTTCCAGCTACTCTAGAGGCTGAAACAAGAGAATCACTTCAGCCCAAGAGTTAGAGGTTGATGTGAGCTATGACACCAGAGCACTCTACCAGGGATGACAAAGTGAGAGATTCTGTCTCAAAAAAAAAAAAAAAAGTCATGTATCCAAATCAAAAGAAGGTCACCTGGGAATAAGATAGAGAATTTAGAAGTGGGTGGTTCCCTGTATCCTGGAGCTCCCCCACCCCCAGGGCTTGAACTTAATAAGTAAGATTTATAGGGCAATTGTGGTCAGCTTTTCCATTTACAATGTTTTCACATACATTATCATTTAATCCTCACACAAGGCTTGCAAAGTACTTATTATTACCCTCAATTTACAATGGAGGAAACTCTAGCCATTGCTAACTTAGGGCCCACACCATTGCTCAGTAGGGGAGCTGTTTCTGACTCCTGCTTCTCTTCCCAGTACCCAGGCTGCCCTTATTACAGTTGCCTCTACAGGGAAGGGAAATACAGAGACCTGTCATTGCCATCAAGTAAGTCCCCCCAATTCCCTTCATCCAGTCCCTCACACACCCAGGGTAGGTGCTCTCTGGGCAAAGGGC